ATTTTCTGTGGTTTTTATTGTAAAAAGGATCTCACTATGCAATTCAGGCTGGCCTTAACTTCACTTTGTAAACCAGGCCAATCCCCAACTTGCAGTGATCCTGCCTCAGCCTCCTGAGTGCTGGGATTATAGGCATGTGATTATGGGCATGTATCACCATGCCCAGCAATTTCTGTGTTTTAATCCATGTATTTTGTGGTGTTTTGTTTTCATAGCCCTAGCAAATTAATGTAGATTGCTTGTATGGTTGCATGCAACAAAATCTCAAATGCCTTTAATTAGCCCACTCCCAAGTTAGATTGCCAAGCTTTAATGCCAAAATCTCAGAATTTTTTACATTTCCCCTAGGCAAGCTATGGGAGAGAGAAATTTTAATATCTGGGTAGAGCAATACCTAATCACCTCCTTTCCCATTTCCCAAATACAGCCAGCTGGCTAATTCTTTACTTCAACTGAATTTGTTTGGTTTGGCAAGGAGAAAGTGTTTAATGGGACATTTGTGTTCTTAAGTGTGAAGAAGCTTCTAATAAACCTCATTGCTTTTTTTTTTTTGAAAGTAGAAAGTAGAAGACTGAGTAAAAGACTTTTAAATATGATGTTAATTTGAGCTAATTGCTCATGCGTAGTATTAGCTACATTACTCATCCTGTGCTATTGTCAACAGGGGTAAAGCAATGTCTGTTGGCTCAGGCCTGTTGCTTTGGTAGTTTCCATACCCCTGATCATTAGCCAGTCATACTGAATTGCCACAGGTATTTTTTATTATTAAATGTTTTATCTACAAGCTGAATATTGTATTTATTTATTTTTAAATTTTATTTTAGAGAGGTAAATAAAACCAAGCAAAATAAAGTAGAATAAAGCCAATTAAAACAATACAGTGTGAGTGACACAGGATTTCAAAACAAAGTAATAGGAAATCAACAATAGTTACCATAATGCCTCTTGTTGTCTTCAAAATAGCTGCCCATACCTTCGGATATAGTAAAATTAAAAAAAAAAAAAAAAAAAAACCAGAACAGAATAGAACCAGTAAAAACAAAACAATGAATACAGTACAAGACTTCAAAATAAGGTAAGAGTAAATCCAAAATGGCTACCGCAATGTATCTTGTTATCTTCAAAATAGCTGCCCAAGCTACCAAATACAACAAAATCAAACAAGATAAAACGGAATAAAACCTAACCAAACAAAACAATGAAAATGATATGGGATTTTAAAGCAAGATAATAAAGAACTAACAATGACTATCACCTTCAGAGGGAGATCTCCATTATATGTGCTACATTGTATATTGTTATCCTCTGAATAGATCACACTACCAGCTTTAGGGCCAGTGAAACACCAAACACTACAAGAATTAAGTTGGATTTTACCTCACTAGCTATCATCACAGTCTGTGTTTATCTGGATCAGCCAGTGCTTCAGGAGAATGGAGGGGGTGTGGGACACACACACACACACACACACACCTGTCCCTACCCTTGCCCCAGGAGGGGCTGGTGTCTGGCTCTGCCCTAGTCAGCCTGCACATGGCACCGACTCACAGGAGTTCTTAACTTCTTGTTGACTTCTTGCTGTCTTCCCCTGAAGTCTGTGAATGATGCAGACTCACAAGAAGGAAAGGACTGGTGTCTGCCTCTTCCCCCAGTTAGCTTGTGAATATTGTATTTTTAACTATGTATTTCTTATTATTATTTTAAAATTGAGTAATATAAAAAATGAAAGTAATATATAAAATAATGCAATGTTTCATTGATTTTTTTATATTACTTTGAGAAAGAAAATTTTGAGTGTATAGTAAAATAAAACACTTGTTCTTTCATCATTTAGAGGCAGTTTACCGGAGTTGTGAAAGTAGGATAGATTAAGTTAATTAAAGAATGGAATAAAAGTTTGAGTTCCAGAGAGGGACAGAATTGTTTTTGTCATAAATTAAAGCAAAACAAAAAAACTCCAGTTCATGAAGGAGTAAGGCTTTTGATCTAATTTTGGCATTTAAATTTGTATCATACCTGTACATTTTTGGAGCACCCTTGTAACTGGTATGTGGGCACTGTGGTAAATATCTGGTTCTCTTTTTCTGTCTGTTCCCTTCCTTTGTGTTCTTTAACCTCCTCTTCTCCTTTTGTGATGAGGATTTAATCCAGGGTCTCAAGTATGCTAAGTACATACTCTACCACTGTGCTGTACTCCCAGATACAGTGATACGATTTCTCCTCCTCCTCCTCCTCTTTATTTCAGTTGAGGAAGATACTGAAACAATTTCCTCAAAATCAGATGCAAACCAGTGGCAGAGCTGTGTCTGTGAACTGAGGACTTTCACTCTAGTATCCTACCTTGTTCTTTAAGACTTTATAGTTCGCCATGAGGCTGCTGTTGGCAGATTATCTATGTATCTGTCTGTCTGTCTGTCTATCTGACTACCTCTGGTCAGAACAAAATAACTGTGTCAGTTTAAATTCAGAAACAATTATGAGAATCAGTTTTCTGTTAAACCAAGATATTAAAGAACTTTGTTAAAAAAATGTGAAACAGTGTCATTCAATTACTTTTTTTAGAAAAATTATTTTAAATGTTATTTATGTTGACATGTAGTAAGTTTATCATTACTATTAAGTGAATGAATATTTTAAACTTTGCCATTAAAATTTCCACATATGATAAAATTTATCAGTATTGCCACCATAAAGTGTTTTGGCAAATTTCAATAATTTTTAAGAGTAAAATTTTGACTGCTGCTATAGAAAAAGTTTGAAGGACAGGATAGCAGCAGTTAGAAGGTTGACTATTTCTTTTTATTGTGTGGGAAAGATCCATAGGGGCCTACACGGCACTGTTGCTGGTGCCGCCTCTCTAGTGATTCTGAGAAGTTCCAGCACATTCTGTGAGTGCTCAACTTCTATATTGATGATGGTGGAAAATAGCCTTTGCTGTCACTACTATTATGGTGTGGCATGAACATACACGCATGTGGTATTGAGGAAAGCAGAGACGTCAACCTCGTCAAGAGGGCTGGAGAGCTCACTGAGGACGAGGTGGAGCACAGGATCACAGTCATGCAGAACCCATGCCAGTACAGGATCCCACACTAGTTCCCGAACAGATAGAAGGATGTAAAAGATGGGAAATACAGCCAGGTTCTGGCTAGCAGTCTGGACAGCAAGCTCCCTGAAGCCCTGTGGTGACTGAAGATCAGAGCCCATAGTGGGCTTTTTGGGGTCTTCAAGTCCAAGGCCAGCACATGGCGACCACTGGACAATGTGGTTGCACTGTGGTTGTGTCCAAGAAGAAATGAGTCTGTAGGCTTCTTCTATAAATAAATAATTTATATACCTGTCAAAAGTGCAGAGAACAACCTCAGTAAACAAAAATATTAGTAGAGATTGTAGATGTAACACTAAAGTGTTCATAGCTTTTCATTTTTTTCTTGATAAAAATTTTGTAATTGTTCTATAGTTGCATAGTAAGTAAAAGTCTTGTTTGAGCTATATATTCCTGATTTGTTCATTTCTTGTAGTTTTATCATGATGTTAGTCCTTGTGATTGTTCCCTTCAGGAATGTAGGGTATGCCAGGTGTGATGGCACATGCCTGTAATCCCAGTACTCAGGAGGTTGAGACAAAAAGATTGTAGCCAGTTCAAGGACAGCCTGTGCTACATAATAAATTGAAGGCCAGCCTATGCTATAAAGCAAGACCCTAAAATAAACAGACAAACAAAAAAACCCAACAAAAAGCCAAACAAGAATTTAGGGTACTACATTGATTCATTTTTCTCTTTATTCCCTCTTTTCTTCAGCCATCTGGATTATATACCTTTTATGGACACAGGCCAGATTTTATTGTTATTTTGCCCATAATGCAAAGTAAGAAACATTTTACATTATATTCAATGAGTACACAAGGGGTTTTGAATTATTAATGTTGCATTTGATTATATGGTAATACTGACTTTTTCTATATATAAAAATATCTGAATGCATTATTCCCTAACCTGACCTCTCAGGCTGTGTCTTGTTTTTAACCTTGTCCTACTCTTTTTTTGTTCCCCCTCTGGTTCTGGCAGGCTATAGTGTGAACAAATTACATGATTTTGAGAAGGGACGAATGACAAATTTGTCAACTTGTGGTCCTGATCTAGTAAACAAGCAAAAAAGCCCCCCCAATCACTGTGTTACTCATGAGACAGTTGTACAATAATCATATCAATGAATGTTATTGAGATAACTTCTACAGTTCAAAATTTTACAGCAATATTTAAAAGTCTACCAACAGCCCTGGGGCTGGGGATTTAGCTCAGCGGCATAAGTGCCTGCCTTGCAAGCAGGCGGTCGTGAGTTCGATCCCCAGTACCGATAAAAAGGAAAAAGACAAAAAAAAAAAAAAAAAGTCTACCAACAGCCTTTATAGTTTGTGCCTTAGATGTCAGGACTAAATAGACTTTAATTTATGAGACAATACTTAAATCATTTAACATATACTGTATTTGTATTTCATAAAAGATTGTATAAACATTTTAGGAAATTTTATCTCAGTCAATAATTGCTCTTACAGATTTCTTCTTACAACATTTAAAACCATTCATGGTATTTTTATATTTAAGGAAATGCATAATTTAGATTAATGAATTTTTTAGAATTCCTAAAAATGCCAATGAGATTCTCTAAGCCAAGTTTATCTACATTCATCAATCAGTCTTTGAAACCATCTAAGGATGCTATTGTGGCCCACAGTTGTGTTATAGTTCTCTTCTGACAGTTTGCCTTGGCAGCCCATACACTTTGTTAGCACAAGCCCTGTGGTTTTTCTAGTAGACTGTAAAAATCTGAGGAATGTAAAGAAAGTCATAGCAGAGAGGAAAAGCATGGCAAATAGAGGGTGGAGTGGGCTGGTGTATTTTGGAGAACATAAGTGAAATTTACACAGGTAAATTGTAGTCATGTTTTAGGGTGGATGTAGCTGGAAGATCTGATGGATCTATGATATGATATGTTTAGGAGAAAAGTGGTGTTTCAGGATGACGAATGTGGCAGTGATGTGCATGGTGCATGCAGAAGGAAGGAACCACGGCAGGGAGGCTTCGTAACCAGCCTATGTCAGAACAATAAAGGCCTAGACTCAGAGTGTTGCTGTGGAGATGGAAAGCAGATGGTAAGTTTGACAAGCATAATGAAGAGTGAAATGTATTCCTTTATTCAACAGCTATTCATTAGGTAGTGTATGCGTTTATGCTAATAATATCTGAATTGAACTTTGGAGTTACTAGCATAATTTTAAATAATTTTTATTTGAAAATATATGACTTCAAAGGTAAACTTTAAAATTATATATACTGATAAGGAGGTTTTTAAATTTTTCTGGGGATTTGTGATGTTAAAAATAATTATCGTATACCTTTAATCTCCCCATGGATTTTTATAGTTTATTTGATAAACAAAGTGAAAGCAGTACTCATTTACTCATGTAACAGATCCTGTGGCAGTCAGGTGTGATAGCTTGAACATCTGGGAGGATGAGTCAGGAGAACTGAAAGTTTGATCCTGGTCTGGTCAATTTAGTGATTTAGTGAGACCCTGTATCAAAATAAAAAATATAAACAGGGCTGGGATTGTAACTCAGTGTGAGGCCATGGACTCAATCTCCAGTATAGCACACACACATGTACAGCAAGTCACTTGACCAGAGGGCTTTACTTTTAAAGAAAACTTAACATTTTGCAGATGTGATGGTGCATGTGTATAATGCCAGCTATTATAAAGATTGAAGAAAAAGATCACTGTTTCATGAACAGACAAACAACTTTAAAAATGGAGGATTAGTAGAAAGCATTTTCCTAGCATGCATGAAGCCCTGGGTGTATTCCCCAAGTACTGTTTTTTTTTTTAAAAAAAACTATATTTACATTGTTAAATGCTTAAGAGTGTTCTAGTACATAAAAAGTCATTTCTTTGCAGTCTTGCAATGCCAACTATCACGCTTATTGTTTTAACATCATGTAAATGACATTTGTACATCAAGCAGTGCTTGAAGTAAGTTGTTAGGCAATTTAAAAGAAATTGAAAAATACTTTAAGTTCAAAGTTATTTTCTCTGGTTAAAGCCAATGACATAAAATATATATGATCCACTCAAAGAATCGTGTTAACTATTCTTATAAAAGAATATTTTCATTGAGTCATGTTGACTAATATATAAAGTTTGCATGTTATAATATAAGCATAAAAAGAATGAGGTTTTGAAGATAGAAATCATGTTATAAATAATATTATTTATGAGAAATATAAACATGATAAAAGATATTAGTGACAAGGTTATTGTCTTTATTATAATGATCAAAATTATTTTTGTCCTTTTCATAATTGTAATTATAGTACTTACATCACTGCTTTCACTTTTCTCTCTGCTAGTTAAGTCCCTGTGAGAATCTGACTTTCAAGCTTGACACAGTGGCACACACCTGTAGTCCCACCTGATAGGAAGGCCAAGTCAGGAGGATTACAAGTTTGAAATCCTGGGCATCTTTGTGACACTCCATCTCAATAAAAGAAAAAGTAATGGAGATGTAGCTCAGTAGTAGAGTGGTGGCCTAGCATGATTGAGGTACTAAGTCTAAATTTTAGTATCTCAAGAAACAAACAGAACACCAGGCTTTTGATGATTTCATTGCACTGAAATTATTTGCTTTTCTGTATCATCTTCCTGAACCATCAGATTCTTCATGGTAATTAATTCTTATACACATTTACTGCTTTCCTCCTTGATATTTCTTTTATTACATGTTTCAGAGCTTTGTATTTTATTGGCCTACCTTGAAACTTCCCCTTAGACCCAAATTCCTTTCCTATAGTAAATATTTTGTCATGGATTTTTTTTTAGTTTGGTGCCCATAGTTTGATTATATCCACTTAGGGAAAAATAATTTATTGTACAAGTAACAATTACTTGTACATGGATAGTTTTATAACATGCCTTACCTTTTTATAATATACCTTACTTTTTCTTTAGTACAAAATTCCTTGGTTTCAGAATGACTTATTGCCTGCTCTGATGTCAAATACTTTGGATGGTTAATGAATGGGATAAATGTTATAATTAAAATTGGAGAATGAAATTCAGGGCCCAAACTAGCAAACATTTTTAAGTTTGTTCACTTATTTATTCACTGGCCAAATGTTTCTGTTTCTGTTATGTGTGAGTTAATTTAATAAGGCTAAACTATAGCTTAGAAGTTAAAAACATTAAATGAGTAATTACAAGTTAACAGTGACCTGATTTGGAAGACGTTTTTAATGAAAAAGGTCTTTGGATTTTGCTGATTCTAAGCCTACTGTGAGCTGTTTCTATGAGATTTGATGGCTGTGGAAAGATATAAAATCTCATATTTCTGTGGTAGAACTGTTTTATCCTGGTAGCTTGGTAGGTTTCTTCTGAGTTATTTTATTTACATTAGATACTAGATATGTTTATCATTTCTGCTCATGCAAAGTGACTTCTAAAAAATCCTTGAACCTATGTAAGTTTATATCCTTGGTCTCAAATGTTGGATCAAGCTAAGACATATGTCCCAAGAACAGCTAGTCTCTGCACTAGCCAGTCATTGTGTGATCAGGCTCAAAATAAGTAACTGGCATAATCAGAGGTTTATTTCTAGAATTTAGAGTTGGAAAATTGAGAAATACAGGTTTGGTGTGGAGGAGAGTGTAGGCCTCGAACTGGAAGGTCATGCATGATAGGCTTGAAGAATCCTCACAAGCCATAGGCAGGGTATGTTAGCAAACTGGCAAATAAAGAATGCAACACATGCAACTGATTAAAGCAAGAGTCATAGTAGATGCACGACCTTTAGAAAACAGAGATCTGTGTTCTAGTTTCTAGCTTTTAGGTCCAACTTCCTGAACCCTTTGTTTACTACTGTTTCTGCCTTTGAATTTCTGCAAGTTTATTTGCAAATATTCTGTCTCTCTGTCTCTGTCTTTGTCTCTCTGTCTCTGTCCCCCCCCCCCCGTCTAGCATTCTAGCAGCCTTGATTAAAGTCATGTGTAATATACTGACAAATTATATCCCTCCTTACATAAGAGCAGCCAGGTTGAAGAGATGAGGACTTGTTGGTACTAGAACAAACACATACCTCAGTGGTTTAGCATTTGTTAAAAAGCACTATTCTATACTATGGTTTATGATGAGTTTTATGACTTGTGGTTTCCTGATAAACTGCTTTTCTTGGTTTTATTATACAATCTTGTTGATTGTATCTCCTCTCTCCTTTTTGTGAAGAGATTTTGTAAGTCCCCAAATTTATGATTAATTTGATGGTGTGTATTATAAATAGAATGATGCTCTAGATTTTGCTATAAAATTGATAAAAAATTATCCCTTTGGAAAATACTAACATTTTGAAAGCAAATCTATATATACAAATTGTGTAGTACTTTGATACAATATGGATATTGGACGTAAGAAATTTTACAATCTATATATATCCTTTTCTCTGAAAATGTCTGAAGTGTAATAAATTTTGTTTTATATTACATATTTTATTCATTTTGCTTTTGAATTTATTTTTTCATTTAGATGTAGGTTTATCAGGGATTTAAAGAATGTTCTAGTTTATACCCTGATTTTTTAAATGAATTTTACTTAAGTAATCCTAGACAGATAAAAAATCCATCACAATGTTAAAGAGAATTTTGAAACTTTAATGTTTTCTCTCAATAGTACATTTTAAACTATTGTTCCCAATAAGAAGAGTACTAATTATTCTGTCAAACATAAATTCTTTATTATATTGAGTTTTTATGTTATGTTAAATGTATCAGAAGTTTTAGAAATATAATAATACATAAAGCAGAAAAATAAAAAATGAAACTCTAAATAAAATGACTTGATATCTCAGGAAAATTCTGGGGGGCCAGCATTAGGATAGATATGTAGTAACAGTGTTTCTAATAAATGAATAAAAGCTTGTATATGGTACAGTGACACTTGTGGTATGTTTACTCCATTGATTATGCATAGCATTTGTGATGATCATGGTTAGTAGTTTTGTGAATTATTCTGTGTCCATGGACTTCTCAAAATTTTGAATGCTAGCCAACTGTTTTACAATGTCTGCCATTATTAACAATAGGGATCAAGCAAAAGAAAATATTAGAATAGTGAAACCACCTTTATTGTACAGTTCAGAATTTGAGTCCTAGTTACAATAGGTTTTATTTCAAATTTTTGGAGAAAAACCTAATTCCTTGACGGTAGGGGCTATACCTTTGATCAAACTGATAGTCTCTAATAGGAGTTGATATAATGTCTTGCACAAAGGTGATAAATGTTTAATTCAGATAATATATTGGTTATTTATTTCTGCCTAAGCATCTTCAAACTTAGTGGCTTCAAAGAGCAGCTATTTATTATTGCTCACAAATGAGAGATTGAATGGATTTAGCTGGACCAATCTGTTCTATGTTAGTGGCAGAGCTGCAGTTGTTCGAAGACTTTACTTGGCTGGGGTGTCTAAGGTGCTTCAGTCACGTGGCTGCTGCTTGAGTCTTCTGTCAGCTGGAAGCTCAACAAGGGCCACAGTTCTTTTTCATGGAGCCTTCCATGGTAGTTTGGGCTTCATACAGTGTGGCAGCTGAATTCTAAGAGGGGGAGAATCCCATATGCATGCATGTTGAATCTGCAGTTTTAAGGCCTGCCCACAGAGGTTTTTGGTGCATGTGAGATTCTTACATTGAGTTTCCTGTGGTATTTTTCACATGATTATATTTGGTTTATGGGTTTTTAGAAAGAATGTCATGTCATCATGATATTCACGTGACATTACAGGTGATGTTAACTTTCATAAAGGCAATGTTTGCCAGTTTTCTCCACTGTACATGTACTATTTCCCCTTTCCATAATGTTTTCTTTGTAAGTGAATTACTATGTCTAGCTCACCCTCACTGAGGAGGCAGATATTAAACTCTTTCTCCTGGAGGAGAAAGAATTTACATTTAATATTGCAAATTCTTCTGTAAGGAAGATATATCTCTTATTCATATTTATTCATTTGTTTACATTAGTGTGGCCTCATCTCTGTTTATTTTATACTTTATATTTCAATATTACACTATTCATTTAGTGATTCAAGTTTTCACGGCTTTGCCTATTAGGCATTCATTCAGGTTTGCTCAGTATTTAAGGATAGGAGGTACCCGTGCTCAAAATGTTTGAGAACAGCGTGCATAGATTATGATCATAAGATTGAGTAGCTGAGGCAGGGAGGAAATCAGTATTCTAGGAATTAATAGTTCAGGGTGTAAGATAAAAATCACCAGGAATTTAAGAGTAGTTTGGAAGAGTGATAATGAGCCTAGTAGCTAAGAACATTTGGAAATGGGGAGCAGTAGAGCAGGGCAGGGGCAGTTGAGGTGGGATTGATTAATAACAGGAACTTCAAAGCAGCGTTGGGTGGATAATTTGAAGGAAAAGAAGGAGAATGGTCTGGAGTGATAAATGGAGGACGGAAATGACCTACTTTACCTCTAGGCCTCGTAGTTTCTTTCAGGGCTATGTGAGGAAAAGCAGTCACTCTTAAGAAGGTTGTATGTAGGGAGAGAAGAAGGTTGTATGTAGGGAGAGCAGTGTCTTCTGAAAAGAAAGCAACAGGGAGAGAAGTGGTGAAGATTTTGCTGATATTACACTGTTAGTTCCATAGGACACTGTGGAGAGATTTACTTCTTTCAGAATTAGGAGGGGACAGGATATACGATCAAGATAAAGGATGTGCAAAGAATTAGGAAGATTTATTTATGAAAGATAAGTGTAGTATGGGAGTCTGTGGTTATTTGTGATACCTGTCATCCACAAGGATAAAGGAAGTTATGACTTTAATTCTGGTAAACCTAAGGCAGATAATTGTACTGAGACTGTGAAAGTTTGTGGGTTGAGAGGCATTTCTCTGCCTCTCTTTTGAGCTCAGGAGACAAAGAAGTATGAGGAGGGACAGTTCTACTTTGAGTTTATATGCATGTTACACCAGTGAGTATGTCTGTGAGTTCAGCTATACAAAGACAGGGCCAACTTGATCTCTATCTGAAAAATCAGAGACTGGGGTTGACTGGTGTTACTAATGTGTAGCGTATACACAGGAAAAATGCTCAAATCCTAGTGGTTAGGTGTGGTGAATTTGCACCAAATGTACACACTGTAAGTTAGCAGCTAGATCAAGAAGCAGAGTATCACCAGAACCCAAGAGATAAACCCCTCAAGAGCAGTTACTGTTCTAACTTCTAATACAATTGATTAATTTTGCCTGTTGTTGAAGTTGATGAATGTGTAATTATAGGTGATCTATAGGTACTTTGCCTTCTTTTACCCAACATTATGACACGACCTAGTTTTAATTTGTTCATTCATAGATATATTTTGTTGCACTAGACCATATTTTATCTACTTTACTCTTGATATGCATTTTGTTTATTCCCAGTTTTTGGCTATTTAAAAATTGTTGCTCTGGCCCACCACTTGGGAAGCTGAGGCAGGTGGATTGTCGTGAGTTCAAGACTAGCATGGGCTACAAAGTGAGCTCAAAACCAGCCTGAACTACATAGTCAGACCCTATCTCAAAAAGGTTTAAAAAAAATTGTCCTGATGAACATATATACACATTCCTATTTGATATATTTTTATGGGTGAAATTTTTGGATCCAAAGAGTATGCATGTATTCAAGCTTAGAGGATACATATTTCCAAACTTTTTCAAACTATTGTATCATTTATATCCACATTAGTTGTTTGTGACTATTCTGATTATCCCATACATTTTTCAACATAGGGTATTATCTTTCATTCTAGTTACACTTTGGTATATGTGTACCATGCATGTATAGTGTATTTCATTGTGCCTTTTAATTGACCAGGTGACTAACAAAAGTGAGTACCTTCCATGTGTTAGACTTTGACTTGATTAAGTGATGGTGATGTTTTTCCTATTGAGTTGCTTCCTTTTTTCTTAATAATTTATAGTTTAGAATTGATAACATATAATTTCTTTATATGTGCCAGATATAAGACTTTTTGATATATATCTTCTCCCATTCTGTGACTTTGTCTTTTCATTCTCTCAGTGGTATCTTTTTATGAATAAAGGTTCTTACTTTTAATGAAATCTAATTTATCCTTTCTCCCTTCTGAAAACAAAAGTAATGTTTAAAGTAAAGCATTAGATAGAATTAATCTAGGTCTACCTTTTTGTGGTCAGAGTTATTAGGGCAGAAACTTTGACTCTCAACTTTATTAGAATCAAAGCAAAGATAATCAGTTAAGAGATCCATAGTACTCATAATATGAAAATAGTCTAGTTACTTTAAATAATTTTTCCTAGTACTGAAAACTGAACCTGTGAATTTTCTCCTCTGTTGGCTTTTAAATGAGATAACTTATGATCCTGTGTGCTTTTGTTAACATGTTGGCATAATACTAAAGTTTAGTGGTTCCTAATAGATACTTCTGTAAAATAATACAGCACAAATAATATTTTGATGGTCTGAATTGATTTAAGCATAGAGTAGGCTGTTTAAAAAATAGGGTACATATTCAGGTTATCCTTCATGAATGCATTCTTTGGCAAATATTTGTATTATTCGTTAAGGTATGCCTGTGTACTCTAATAGATGGCAGAGCAGAAGTTCTATGAGTTTGAATTGTTCTTTAATAGTATTGGTAGGTATTATTATAAGTGCTTTTGTTTGCATTTTAAAAGTTAATCCTCCCAAACATCCTTTGGAACTCGGTTCTGTGGTGATCACTTTTTCACTAATGAAAAAGTAAGGTAAATGTTTTATTCAAAATTATACTATAGGTAAGTGGTAGAATCAGGATTCGGTCTTTGGCAGTTCTGCCTCAGTTTCTGCTACATTATAAGGCTGATAAAGTTAAGAAACCTATGTTAGGAAGTTTAGATAAAGAAGAAGTTTTCCTTCAGCAAACTTTCTCAGTTTACTTCCATATAAATGGATGGGTGAAAAATGTGTTGTATGTTAATAACATTTTGCTTAAGATCAAAATGTTTTACATTTCTGTTAGCATTCTTTTTTCCTATTTATATTTAAGTAAAGCCTAATCTTCTAAAAAAGTGTTATTAAATTTAGGATCACTGGGGCTTGAGATTTAGCTCAGCGGCATGTCTTACAAGCAGGCAGTATCTATTCCGCCTGCCTAAAGTGCCTGCCTTACAAGCAGGCAGTCGTGAGTTCGATCCCTGGTACTGATAAAAAGGAAAAAGACCAAAAAAAAAAAAAAAATTAGGATCATTACTTGAATATTAATCAGTTTTACTTTGTTAAATAAAGTTATCAATAAACTAAATGGCTTCCAATTACTATTATAAGGAACTGAAAAGTAAACAAATTAAGTTACTTTATTGCTTTCTATAAAATCAGTTTTGAGTGCATCTCTTTTGGTATTTTCAAACATTGAGATATTTTGTGCAATTTTAACATGAATGAGCTCCTTTAAAATTATTGAACTGAAACTGAAAAAATTTTCAGTATGTTTTTACAGCTGGCATTCCTGCAATCTGAATAAAAATTGCAAAGCCAATTTCCTCATTTTATGATATTTATACTTCCATCCAAATTTTTTTTTTTTTGCATTTTAAGGCTTGTTTGTACACATTTGTCTTGAAATTAGTGTGGTAAGTGTGTCAAGGCACTTTAATTTTACAATTAAGAAGTGTCATGCTTACAGGATTATCTGTATCTGTACTAATCTGACTGAATAAAATGAATTCAAATTTTTAACAGTTTTCTATGTTAATTTTCAGATTAAAGGCTTGGAACAGATGTGGCAAGATGTTCACTTCAGAGAGAGGGGTTGTGGAAGAATGGTTATCAGAATTTAAGGTAATATTTACTGCTCTAGTAGATTACAAAGAAGATTTTGCCTGGGTTTAAATTTCAGTGGCCTTTTCAATTTTATTTAATTGAAAGGGCTCATTACATATTTGATATTTTATTTTACTGATGTCTTATTTCCCTGCTAAGTGCATATTGTACAACATAGTGGGAAGAGCTGGACGTGATAGTGAATATCTGCAATCCTAGCACTTGGGAGGCTGAGGCAAGAGGATCACTGTGAGTTTGAGGTCAACCTGGTTCCCAAAGTGAGTTCAAGGACAAACTGAACAAAACAGTGAGACCCTGTCTCAAAAACAAGGCCAAACAAACAATATAGTTGGACGCTCCTGACAAAGCAGGAAGAGAAGAGAAGTGACAAGACTTCACATAGGAAAGGAAAGTTAAGCACACATGCTGTCAGTGTAAACGAGCATGTGCGTGGAACTTGTGGTTGTCATGTGTGAAGACTGCCTTGAGTGTGACAGTTTGTGGTGGAGTTCTGTTGGTATTTCCACTATAGTTCATATAGGAATTTATTTCTGATGTTATCTTTTAGGTTTTGTTAGCAAGTATACAGCTGATGTAAAAACATTGTGTCTATTCTAAATATACAATACATATTAAGAATTTAATGATTTATTTTATTGATATTTTATGTTTCTGTTAACTTCACACAGTGTAATATCGTAAAAACCCTGTAACAAAACAGCAAGACCACTTATACTTCAAGTATGTCTTACAAAAGGTCAGGAAAGCAAGACATGTGCTGTCAATGTAAGCAGTGCATATCTATAGAATGTGCTGTTGTCATGTGTGCAGACTGCTTTATGTGTGTAAATTGAAGTAAAGATTTTTTTGTAGTGTGCTATTGGTGTTTTTATTTTATTGGTAATTCATGTGGAAATTTATTTCTGATGTTCTTTTTTAGATTTTGTACACCAAAAACCAGTCAATGTTGAAATTTTTGATGCTTTTTTATGAACACCCAATAATATTATGAACATTAAATAATTTTATGAACACTCAATAACATTAACTCAATACTTTATTTTGAGATACTTTTTCTGTTAAGTACTTATTGTTTAATGTAATAAAATTAAATGTAATTCATCAATATAAATATTCTAAAGAATAAATGTTGGTGTCTTATACACCTTAATGGCAAAATTAGTCTTATGCTCCAAGAACTAGCTGTAACCATGATGCTAATAAGGTGTCTTGGTTATTTTTCTCTCATTGCTGGGATAAAATACCTGTTGCCCAAAATGGAGGAAGGAAAAGTTTATTTAGCTCACAGTTTATGGAGGTTTCAGTCCACAATCATCTGGCTCCACGGTAGACAGGTGGCATGGCTCCAGGGCAACACTTCAAGGCAGCAGTCATCAAGATCAGCCAGAGCAAAAGGGGGTGGGGGACAAGCCTCTTTTCCTCCCTTATATTGTAAGAAGGCTCCTCACCCCACTGCCCAGGGTGGGCGTAGCGCCCACTCAATCTCTGTGTCCTCCTCTTGCACAGGATGAGGATATTTATAAAGTAAGGATCCTGGCTTCCTGCTGAGGCTCTTAGTTAAACTTCTAAACTTCTCAAGTTGACACCTTGTATCAACTAACGTAAGGCCAAGGTCATTATGACCGATTAAGTAGGCAAAGAGTCAGAAGACTAACCTAATCCTAATTTTCTACTGCGGGGTTTTAGGATATTAGGTAAATCATAAAATCTCTCTAGGATTTATTAACTGCAAAAAAATTGGAGTAGATTTTTTTGTGTATTAGCTTAGAAGTGTATTAGCTTCTACATTATTCTGTGGCCATAATTTGAATTCTTAACCTTATAACCTTACTCAACGGTCTCTTAAATGTGGAGATAACACAGCTTGTTTGTGCAAATCTTTTATTTAAAAACTTTTAAAAAATCTTTGAAAAAGCCTTTTGTTCTCTATGATCTCTCAGTATTTTCTTTATATATTAATAAAGTGATTATAATTTCACTATAAGATTTCATGAAGAGTTTCTCTTCAAATATTTATTTGTAACATATTTTCTTTGAGTTTTTTGTTCTCTCTGCTGTGTAGATTTATCTAATAGATGTTCAGACTTCTAATTTTTTGATTTTCCAATAGTCACTGAATCTCAGTATGTGACTCCACATCAGTCTTATGTATGATATTATTGAACAGGATTATTTTATTTATTAGTTTTTCACCTATTTATCCTTCATTAATTCAACCCATATCACCTCCTTATATAAAAAAACAAAAAAACAATCTGCCAAATGATACTTTAATATAAAGCATATGTCTTCTTCAAATGTCGCCAAGAATAATCTCAACTTAAATTCCCATTATTACTTTTCATCTTCGTATCTTCCTCCTGAAACATGAGAAATTTAGGCTGATACTTAAGAAGCCTAATTCTTCTAAACTAATATGTCACAAGAATATTTAAATGTTTTCTGTAATGGTTCTTAAATTCATTTGGCTTTTTTAGATCTTAAGTTTTTCAGTCACCATTTGTAAGCACAGAAGTTTTACACTCCTCCAAAGTAACTTTCTGTAAAAAATTACAGAATTTTGAGTGAAGTAAGTTTACTTGATACATACACACAGAATTACAATTGGTTGTTTTAGTGATTGTTCCAGTGTTAGCCTTGGTAGTATATTATTATGCAGTAATTGTTTTTAAAAGATTTGTATTTTAATTTACTTTTTCTTAAATTTCATAGACATATACCTGAAATATGTGCATATGCTTACATTAGATATTTACATAATGTGTTTTTATATAGATTATCTGAAATATATTTGGTACATAAATTTTGGCTTGTTTCTTCTATTTAGGGGATTAGAAACCTGTTTATTTGATTATTATTCCCTTTTATGTAACTTTTTCCAGTATTAGCTTACTTTTGATCAAATAACAGAGGAAGGAATGTTGCAGGGAGATCTTTTGTTATTTGCTTTAGAAATACTGAAGAATGTCCTAATCCCTTTTTATGTAAGCAGTGCAGTGAAATTACTCCCCCAACCCAGATGGTGGAAGGCTTCCAGTAGTTCACATTTACTTACCATGTAGTAAATAAAACTCTCTTATTAAATTTACTTACATATCTTAAGGTGAAATCTCCTCCCTCCTCAGTCAGTGTAGGAGAGAAGGCTTTGCAGTAAGCTACATCTCCAATCCTTTGTATGTTATATTTTCAGAACAGGTCTTACTGAGTTGCTAAGTTGTTCAGGGTAGGCTTGAATTTGTAATCCTCCAATTTCAGCTTCCCAGAGTGCTTGAATTACAGGTATGTGCACCACTATGCCTGCCTATGTCTATTTTTAAAGAATCTTTTGAAATATAAACACGGACAGTTTTTATATTTTATTCTATTCTTCTCATATACATTCCATCAGCCAAGATTTGAGTGTGAGGCCTTGTGCTGAGTGATGTGGTTAAAGAGGTGAGATATTTTTTCTTCAACCAACTCACCAGAAAGTAAAAAATGAATTTTAATATAAAATTTATATAGTTCAGTTTTACATGCATATTTATGCTTGGACATTCCATCACTTAATAATAGTGTGAATCTTTAACAGATAGCTAGAAATACCTTGAAACATGATATCTAGTCTGTGATTAGCCCTTACTGACTAGAGGAATTTGGATGAGAAAGAGTAATGACATTGAGGACAAATATTGCTACATGGGGTATGCTTTAGAAGAATAGGTCTTGATTATTGTTACAGTGATGTTTTCCAACAGTGGCATTTTTACTCAAAGCTTTATGACTCACTACTGGTGTTTCATCTCTCTATTCTTCTCTGGTCATGATATCTTGTGTGAATGGGGGATGCGTTACTGGCAAGCTATGATTCGTTATCTATATTTTAAATGGTATTAGAAAACTAGCTTTTTTGTAATGTGGATGTCTTTTTTTCCAGTTCTGAGAAGTTCAAGTTTTCCAGCCAATTTTTAAAGTAGAATAGGGTCACCAAACTCAACCATGAGAATATATGACTCAGAAGTTACTTGGATCAGATGATCTCTTGTGCGTTTTGATTGGAAATGTTATCAGATTCTTTACAACACAAAACATGGTCAATATAGCTAATGAGATTTATAACATAGAATACTCAAAACATATCACTAGTGTTATACGTTCTCATTTCTAACCCCAGACTGTGAAAAAGATGAAGTTTTTATGTTAATTTACATCCCTATTATAAGAAGGTTAAACATATTTTTTGCTATTCCTTGAGTATTTTGTTGATATATATAATTTTATATATATATATATATAATTTTTTTGGTACCGGGAATCACACTTGCGCTTACCAGGGAGATGCTTCTGCTGCTGAGCTATTTCCCTGGCCACAGATACATTTTTTTAATCTCATAACATTTACTGTTTTAAACCCATGTGGTGGCACATGCCTCTAATTCCAGCACTTGGGAAGCTAAAGTAGAAGGGTTGCAACTTTGAGTCCCACTCAACTCAAAATTACAAATAAAATAAAAGGCTAGACATAGCTCAGCGTAAAGCCCTTAAGTTCAATCTCCAGTGTGAAAAAAAAAAAAGAAAGGTTGCTGATTTAAGGTAGAAAGTTGCTGGATTGTTGTATAGTCACAGTAGTATAGCCAATACCAGCATCTCTTTCCAAGACATTTTCATTTTCCCTGAAGAAACTGCACACCTGTTTGTTACTCCTGTTGTCCCCTCCTACCTCCAGTCTCTGGCAATAATTAAACTATATTTTATTTCTATGGATTTGCCTATTTTAGAATTTCATAAAAATAAAATTTATTTTTTAAATTTGTTTAGACCCTGCCAGAAACATCTTTACCACATTATGCCACAAATTTGAAAGACAAGAGCTCTTTAGTTTCATCTCTCTATAAAGTTATCCAGGAGCCACAAAGTGAGGTAAGTACTCTTATGGTTTGTTGTGTTACAAGTAATAGTATTCCACTGATTGATTTTTAATTTCTTTTATTGTAAGAAAACATATATGCTTAAAAAAACAATATAGGATAAACTTCAAGGTACCATCTCCCAGACCAAGAAATAAAATTATTACTATATTCCCAAAGCCATCTCTGAAAAGCACTGCTCCCCCATTCTTTGTATTTTAGTACCCTTGAAAACTCTAGGTAATATATTTATTCATTCTGCAAATATCTGTGTGCCTGTTATGAGCCATTTGCTATGCTGGATAGTAAAGAAGAAAAGATTTTATAGCATATGATATTTATCCTGAAATGGAAAGGGAAAAAATTAAGCAAATTTAAAGAAAATGCTAAACTCTGTGAATGTTATGCTTTGCATATTTGTCCCCTTCAAAAAGCATTTGGAACTTAATTGCCATTGCAACAAATATAGAAAATTCAGACCTTCAGAGAGTGTTTAATTCATGAGAACTCCATCCCCACCACAGAGACTGATGCCATTAAAAAGAGTGAGTTCACTTATCCTTCTGCCTTTTTTTATGGGATGATGCAGAAAAAAGCCCTTTGATTTCAGATTTCCCAGCTTGCAGATCTTGGAGGGGATAAATTTCTCTTTGTAAATTACTCAGTCTGTGATATTCTATTGTAAAAGCACAAAACACATTAAAAACATTGATAAATACCAATTTTCCAGGTGGCAAGGTAAAAAAAAAAAAAATCTAAGCAGACAGGCTAATATTTTGAAGCCCAAGAAAATGCATGGCATTTAAGGAAAGGCAAATAATTTGATTGGGGCTTGATTCCTTCCCCTTCCTCCTTCAATCAGCCAATTTATTTTGAAGGTGATAATCTAACACTACTTTAGATTCTGATTCTTACAAATTCCACTATTGATAGTAAAAATAGGAAAGATCATTAATAGTATGGAAAATAAAAATTTTCCATACTACTGGAATGGCATTGGATAAAGGCCTTTAGGCTAATGTAACAACAATGTAAGATCAGTAAGAATTGAAGCTGAACAGGTATCATACTAGCTTTCAAATTGTGTGTGTGTGTGTGTGTTGTTGTTGTTGTTGTTGTTGCTGAGGATTGAATCTAGGATGTTGAGTCTGTTAGGTTTAGTGCTCTATTCCAACTTATATAGCATAGCCCTTTTTGATGATACTGGAGGTTGAACTCAGGGCCTCATGTATGCTGTGCTTTTAAATTTTATTTTAAGGCAGAGTCTCACTAAGTTGTCTAATGTGGCCTCTAACTAATTTATGATCTTCCTTCCTCAGTCTCTCAAGTAGCTGGGATTACAGATGTGCACCAGTTAGACCTAGCATAGGCCTCAAATTCTATCTTATACAGTTTAGACCTTTTTTTGTACTATGGAGATGACTTATTCTGATTATTGTTTTAGGAAGGTCACTGTGTGGTGGATGGACTGAAGACTGGAAAAATTAAAAGCAAGCCTAGGGGACTGTCTATAAACAGCCTATGAGGGAGCTGTTGAGAACCTGAAGTTGGCTAGGATCAGTGTAGATAGAGAGAGTTGGGGTAGAGAGGAGTGTGCTGAAGTGTATAATTCCTTTTATTCTTGAGTTTTATTTGATAGATCCATGTACCTTTGAAATGAAACTACCCAAACCAGGATCTTTTGTTACTTGAGTGGTTAATCTCTTTTGGATGGGGTGTAGAATAGCAAGGGTGGTTAATCTCTTTTGGATGGGGTATAGAATAGCCCTGCTTCCATGTATTATACTCTGAAGTGCATTGTAAATTTTAGATGCTGGAGGGGTTTGTGATTTTATTACAAAGCCAACAAACTTTAACTGGAATAATTGCATTGAACAATTGTTTCTGATTCATGCACACATACCCTCTGGCCCACAAAGTTTCATGATATCTAGGTAGCCAAAAATATTGTTTGATCCAGAATTACATCACCAAATTAAGTATTGCTACATGTTCTCTTTTTTAAAATAACAAATTAAACTTTCTTTATCATTTACTATTTTGAAAATTTAAAAGGTATTTCTCTGTTGAAATATATTTTAATCAAGTTACTTTGGAAAAGAGTCGATAGGATAAATTTCTGATTGGCTACTTTATAGCATTCCTTATATTCAGAAAACTTTAATGAATATATTAGTGGTTCAGAGCCATATTTATCAAATTAGCTTTTTGAGGAATATTTCTCAAACTATTTTAAAGGGCAAATTTTTTAAAAATCCAATTTTTCACAGCATGTGTAGCACCACACATATTTGCTAAGCCCTAGCTCACCTATGACCTGCTCAGTATGTCTGCTGATCACCCACTTGGTTGGTATCCTGTATCAAGTTGTGTGAAGTTTTTAAGTGTTGCCACTTGATTTCTGTGTTTATATTGGTGGAGACTGATTTCTTGATGGTCATTGGTCTGTGGGTCACACTTTGAAAAGAACTAGTTTGGAAGGTTTTGCATTTAAGTTTGTTTTATGTTTTTATCCTGTTAATGTGGTAAAGACAGTGCATATGCCATATTCCTAAAAAACAACTTAGTTTTTAAAGGATATTTACATGTGGCTCTAAGATATAATTTACTTTATTATTGGTCTTTAGAATATTTGGTGTCTTAATTTGGACATGCTCCTAAAGAATGTTTTGGTAGTTTTGAAACTTGGGACATTGATTCTGGTGTTATTCAAAGTCTAGCAAATTTGATATTTGTAATAGTATCTTTCCATTACTTAGTTTTATTCACTTAGTAAATATTTATTGAACACCAGTAATATATCTGAAGTCTAAGGACTATAGTAGAAAATAGATTAAATTATTGATTCAAGCAGGTGAGATAGACATTAAATAAATATCTACATGTATATACTATGTGAGTTAGTGATAAAACAATGACGGGATAAAATGGAGTAGGGAAAGTATATGCTGGGGCTAGGGAGACGATTGAGGTCTGAAAGAATTAGAGAAAGGGAAAATAAAGAGAGGACAAGAGCTTCCAGCAGCAGGAACAGGAGGTGCAAAGGCTTTGAGGTGAGTACGTGTGTGTTCAGGAAGTTTATGAAGAGGCAGCATATATGGATATTATGTGGTTCACTCCGATGATGTTTTCAGTGGGCTGTAACTTTAAGATCAGATACAACTTTGAGCTTAAGAATCTTCAAGTCTGTTAGGAAAGTAGTTCGGTTTGTTTTTGTGTGTGTAGGGGGTGATTACTGGGGATTGAACCTAGAGCCTTGTACATGCTAGGCAAGCTCCATTGAGCTACAATATCCCTTCTCCTTTTTATTTTGAGATAGAGTCTTGCTTTAGTCTAGCTGGTCTTGAAATTGTGATCCTTTTGCCTCAGATTTCCAAGTAGCTGGGATTTTGGTTTGTACTAAAAATCAACTGATTTTTGAAAGACTCACATAGAAATTCTTTGTGGTTCTAGGAGTAGGGAACCCAGAGTGAGAGAGGTCAAGCACTGTTGAATGAAAAGTATCACTCCAAGTTTCCTGTATGTTTTTGTTATCCCTGTTTGTCAGTAATTGTTAAATATGAATATGAGGGAAAATAGCAAACATGATTCTTTCCTTGCTTAGTTAAGATCATTTTCCCTGATTAGTAAAGAACATTTTTGTATCACATTTTTACTACTGGAAATCTCTCTTAGGATATAGACTTCTTAATTTTTTTTTGTCTTTTTGAGACAGGGTCTCACTGTGCAGTTCAGGCTGGCCTTGAGCTCACTTTGTAGCCCAGGCTGGTCTTGAACTCGCAACGATCCTCTTGCCTCAGCCTCCCGAGTACTGGGTTGCAGGCGTGAGCCACCACACCCGGCTAGACTTCTTACTTAAGAATGGACTATTATAAAATATCATTTGTAACTTAGTTGTTTTAGAATTCAGGATGTACTTTTAAATGGAAAGTTGACACATGGCGATTAGGTTCTCATTAGACTCATAAAAAGCCCATTTAAGGCATAAAAATATACTTAAGGTGTAGTTCGTTCTTAATAGAACTGTTAAAACCTAGTCACCATATATGAGGATGTTTCCATAAGAAAATATTTTTAAAAATTTAACCTAAACACTGGGAACACTGCATATTCTAATGTTCTATTGCTTGCCTCAGATCTATTCAAGTGAGTTAAATCAAACAGTGCTTATATTTTCCCACACTGTATATTATTTCATTCTTTTCTGGAATTTTTCAGTTATGTTTGTAAAAGAACCAAAGACTTGGCTCCTGTCTTTATTTCTTGTGAATGGTGTGATATTGGTTATGATGGATAGCTTTTTTGTCTCAATTTTCTTAGGTGGAAGGTGTGTATAATCATGTTCTATCTACAGTGTTGTAGGAATTAAACAGATTTGTGTATGTAGAGAGTTTTAGAGGACAACAGCTGACAGATGTTGATGTTAGTGATTTTATTTAATCTCTTTGCAATGGAGTTTCTATCTTCCTTTGAATCTGTCTTCATTTACATCTCCTTTCATTAAGCAAAAATCCTTTGAGACTTGAAACCAATTATAAAGCCTCAGTGTATTTTGATTAAAATTGATTATGTGTTCATACAGATGTCTTTGAATAAATTTTCTAACAAGGTTTCATAAGACGCAAATACTTGGTAAACTGACCAGGTTTTATAAATTCATGTAATGAAAGCCAGCCCAGGGCTTTAGAGATAAAAGTTGTTGCATCACAAGATTAGTGAGGCTTATCTCTAAAGAATTTTTAAAACTTTTACCCTGGAAGCTAAATATTACCTTAACCATCTTTCCTCCTTCCCATTATCTCTAACCCTTTCTTCCAAATTTCTGTGCTAAACCTTTTCTTGCCATCTCTGAAGAGAGATACTTTACCTCTTGATCTTCAGTTTTCCGTTACCTTTACATGACTACTGTGGATGCTCGGGTATCCTCTAAAGGCTATTTTGAAATTGAAAGACATGCTTTTTTTTATGGAAGGAGAATCTAACTGATTAGTGTTTATTGCAGTATATCTTTTGTTAAATATTATATGAATATTGACTTTATACTGTTTACTTAAATATCTAAATTATTTAATATCAAAATATCTGCTGTAAATTTGTATTCATTATAATTACTTGTAGTAGAAGTCTGTTTAGTAAATTGACATAAATCTATTGTTTGATAGTGAAGTATAGTACATTGAATACATAATAGCCTGATAGTATCCTTGAAAACTCAGTACCTTGTGACTTTTTGGATATATTTGATTATGATTTGTTTTTGGTCATTATTATATCAAGATAACACCTACAAAAGTTTTTTTTAATCTTGCCTTTTTGATTTTTAAAAGTAGTAGTCAGTTCTAATAACTTGATAAAGTTGGGGCTGTCATCAGAGAAAAAAATGTATAAATAAATGACTACAATTATGTCTAAAAGTTACAGCAATATTTAGATTACCTATGGGCAATTACTCTATTTTAAATAGGGATCTAGATCTATGGCCTTGTGACTATTCACCCACCTTGCACACTAGTCTTTCTGTCAAGTACTGCCTAATTGAAAGCTCAGGAAGGAAGTGTGGCAGTAACTGCACAGGTTTCTCATTGCAATTTCTTCTCCCCTATAACTAACCTTTTATATACTGGTATGTAATTTACCAAGAAGAAAGGACACTGAAAAGAAGACCCAAAATGTACAATAGATATTATGAAAGGGAAAGAAATTGCCCACAGCTGGGATGGGGTAAAGGAGAAACAAAGGAAGGGGGAAAATATATATATACACATACTTACACAAGATAGCTAAGATAATTATATTACTAATTTCTGTTAGTTCACTGAAAAGAACACTTTATGTTTATATTGTTGGATCAGTTTTTCATGCCTATATCTTGTAACTTGAGCAACTACTCAGATTACAAAATAACAATATGAAATATATTAACCATTGTTAATGTCCTATTATCTTGTTTTGAAATTCTTTTTTTTTTTTTTTTTCTGGTACCAGAGATTGAACTTAGGACCTCCTGCTTGCCAAGCAGGCTCTTGTGCCACTGAACTAAACCCCCAGCCCATGTTTTGAAATTCTCTGTCATTGTTTTTATTGTTTTTAAAATAAAAAATAAGAAAGGACATTGAGGAAGAAGTTTCCCATAACTTAGCTGTTATAAGCAATTAAAGAAACATCATTTTAATAATAATAATACTTTGGAACTATATTTTAAAGTTCACATGTGTTCCCATGTTTCCTTTATTGCATTGTTTGTCTTTCCACCAAAATAAAAGGTTTATCAAATACTTAGCAGTGAGCAGTTTTGCTTTAGAAAAGAAAAAAGAAAACGTATTTCAGTAGTTAGCAATTTGAGAAAGTCTTTCATATTTCATATTACATAGTCATTCAAATAAATCCCAGTTTGTGATTTAACACTTTGTCTTTCTCGCAGCTGCTAGAACCAGTCTGTCACCAGCTCTTTGAATTCTATCGCAGTGGAGAAGAACACTTGCTTCGATTTACACTGCAGTTTCTCCCAGAACTGATTTGGTGCTACCTTGCAGTCTCAGCCAACAGAAATGTGCACAGCAGTGGGTGCATTGAAGCTCTTCTTCTAGGGGTTTACAATTTGGTGTGTACATATTGTATTAAACAGAGTGCTTTCTGGTAAAATCAAATATAACTTTTACAACTATTTTTCATCTTAGTAAAGCTAAAATTTGTTTGTTTATGCATTGTCCCCCAAAATAACTCTTTATAGGAGAGAGAGCTATGTAGACATGTAAATATATCTTTTTGGATTGTCTTCAATTGAAAAATCAAGTAATGTCAGTTTTTATTTTTTGAGGTGTATCTGAAATATACCAGGGTTCCTTTTTAAAAATTTAAAATTTAATATATATTGAACTTAATTATAAATTATCTATCTGACTCTCATAAAAACGTTAGGAGAAAAGATTTAGTCTAGTATTCACCAGTCATAGTGCCATACAATTTGGACTGTCTCGAGAGTTCACACCATTGATATAATATCATCTGCATTACTAGTTTGTGTATTAAAGTTTGCATTTTTTAAGATAGAAAAGAAACATAAGGTCCTTTTCTTGATATACTTAATGTTTAAATCATTGATTTAGAAAACATAACTTGTTGTATGTAGATCATCAGTGGCTATTAAGATATTCTGTCCCAGCCACTAAAAACTGTACGTGACTTTTATTTTGGTGGGCTAAATATTTTTTTCTTTTTCTTTTTACTTTATTTTCATTTTTCTTTTTTTTAGTCCTGAAAATTAAACACAGGGTCTCCTGTATGTAAGGAAGCTCTCTATCACTGAATTATAATCCTATCCGTACTTTTGTTTTAAAAGCAGAAGAATGTACATTTTAATTACTATTGTTTATGAATAATTGATAATGGAGTATCATTGTTTAAGATTTTAATTTCTTTAAATTCCTTTCTACTTAGGTCTTTTAAAAAAATTAGCCTAACAATTTAAATTTAGTTTTAAAATTTATGTGTAAAAAAATAAATATTTTTAAGTTATTTTCTTTTATTTTTCTAGGAAATAGTTGACAAACAGGGACACAGCAAAGTATTAAGTTTTACAATTCCATCTTTATCCAAACCATCTGTATATCATGAAGTAAGTGACATTTTATTAAAATAAATTATTGTGTCCTAAGCTTTGATATTATCATAAATTTGGGTCAGGTAATTGACCAAAAGAAATTGATAAACTTACTAGTACCTTAAGCAACATAAAGCACCGTATAAAATATTTACTGTTTCCAAAATGAAATGAGAAACCAGAACTATTAGCTTTGATATAAAATCTGATAGAGATCTATTTACTGTTTGAAATACTTTTCTCTCTTTCTGACGGATAAGACTAATCCACAAATAATGTTTTTTATTTGTGTGTGACAATTATGTATTTCCATTGTAAAAAATTTTGGAAACTAATTTTAATTTTTCATTTAGTTTTAATTTTGATTAAACATTTAAATAGAGAATTTGGTAGATAGTCTGAATGATTTTATGATATTTGCTGTTCCTGATTGTCATTCTTCGTGCTACAAATATTTTAAATATCACATTTTGACAGTTTTTTCTTTATTTGAATGTCTTTTCTTTAGCCTTCCAGCATTGGGTCCATGGCTCTGACTGAGAGTGCACTCTCCCAGCATGGGTTGTCAAAAGTCGTGTACAGTGGACCTCATCCTCAAAGGGAGATGCTCACAGCCCAGAATAGGTACACTATGGAAACATAACTTCTTACGCTACTATACTGATTTTTTTTTAAAAAAAGACTTTAGTAGGCATATAAGTAATGTTTAATGACTTATGTGTAACAATGTACATATTTTATTAAGTCATTTTTCAAAAGAGAAAAACATTTAAGTTTGTCATTGTACTTTGCTTCAGACGTCATTTGGAATATCAAAATTTTAAAATATCTCATGTGGCTGTTACTTGAAAAGTCTTCTTGGTTCATTTTAGTCTTTGTTAATTGTTATGCTTGTATTATAAAAGTCTGTTCTGCAGCTAAGACTGCCTAACACTGCTCACTTAATTATGGTTGGCTTAAAATTGTAAAGATTAGCTGATATTTTTTTGTTTGCCTCTAGGTTTGAAGTGTTGACATTCCTTTTATTGTGTTACAATGCTGCCTTAACCTATATGCCCAGTGTTTCTCTTCAATCGTTGTGTCAAATTTGTTCAAGGTAAATTAAAATTCAAATGTTTTCAGTATTGAAATATTATATACCTAAGTTGTCTTATTTTATGTAATAATTTATTAAAACATTAAATAAGGTAATGTTCAACCTACCCAACACATTATGCCCTTACAGTGCCCTATAAATAGTAGCCACAAAAAAATAATGAAGGGTATGAAACTGAATAATGCTTGTAGAATATTTAATTAGAAAAGAATTACAGTACACTGTATCCGAAAGGATGGAATGGTTATGATCTTTGAAGTTTTGAAATGTCATTGGATTTTTTTGTTATTTTTTATTTCTTATTATTGTGCTGTAATCTAATGTTGAGATAAGTAGAAAATCATGTTTTAAAAATAGAAATTCATTGTTTCTTTTAAAAGAAGTACAGGTTTACTGTGGGATATTTAGGAAACATATAAACAAGAAGAAAAAAGGTCTATAATCTAGAAGATCAGAGATTGCTGTGACTTCATATGTTTGTTTTGGAATAGACTATCAGGTTATTTATTACAAAGTGGGATCATGGATGTGTCATTTAAATACACTTTCAGGTTTACTTATAGTATATTATGAGTGATTGAAATAATTTGCCACCTTTGTTTAACTTTCAGGTGGCTTCCTAAAAAGCCTGCGTGAAAAATAGTGAAGTCTGTTGATCTTTCTTTATCTTCCTGAAACTTCATGTTTAGGCAGGATGCAGAGTATATACCTGCTTATATTTTATTTCTCTCATGATTTTAAATTTTAAAATCAGTTTTAAATTCATTAAGCTGTATTGCACAACGTTTAAATGTAATTCATAGTAAATTTTGATCCTGTAGTTTGTATCAAGAGCTTTGTTAGGAGTCAAAAATCACATTACCACAGATCTGTCTATGGCAAGTTTCATGTGATAAGTTCCATGGTAACTAAAAATTGTTAATAATTGAATTAGTGAACCTAATAATCAACCAGTAAGTGAATATTTCAACATAACTCTAGCTTTGTACATTTTTCCCGAGTCTTGTCTTAGGATAGTATTGCAAGGAAATGTCTTATTTGGAATGATTGCTTCATAGGTATTAGGTTTGTAATGAGAGTGTGCCTAGTATATTGTTGGCTTATAAATGTTAAAAAATAGGGGGCTGGGGATTTAGCTCAGCGGCATAAGCGCCTGCCTTGCAAGCAGGCAGTTGTGATTTCGATCCCTAGTATCAATAAAAAGGAAAAAGACAAAAAAAAAAGTTAAAAAATAAATTATCTCATTATTTACAAATTTTAAGAATATATTTGTCTTGGTCTTTCTAGAATCTGTGTTTGTGGATATCCTCGACAGCATGTAAGAAAATACAAAGGTGTAAGTAGCAGGATACCAGTTTCTTCAGGATTCATGGTGCAAATGTTAACAGGAATTTATTTTGCCTTGTAAGTTTATCTCCTATACAAAGCAAACCTTTGATCCCTTTGGAAAATTATAGCTTGTTAATGTTACTATATTATAATCTCAATAAATAATATTTTTATGAAAGATTATAAGAATGAAGATCCTGATAATAGTTTTTAATTTAAAACATACCTTTTAAAGTTGTGAGGAACTTGAAACCAATTAAAATACTTCAGCTTTTTAAATTTGAGAACAGAATGAAAACTTTAATATAGTACTTAAATATTTTCCTAGTCTCTCTCTTTCTTTTTTTGGGGGGGAGATTTTGGGGGTGATCACAACCTCATGCTTGCTAGGCAGGCGCTTATGCCACTGAACTAAACCTCCAGCCTACTGGTCTCTTTCTTTAATATTGTACTCCTTTTGTTGAGACTATATTTTCCAAATAGATTCCCCTTTCCCCTTTAATGACTGTCCTTTGATTCCAGAAAGTTTAGCCCCTCAAAAGCATTTTAAAGCCTCTTTGATCAGAGTTTATTACTATTAATTTCTAACCTTGAGGTTTGGTTTTACCTAATGACTTAGACACTTGTATGTTTCTTTGAACCCTATCCTTTCCACTATAGCATTTAATATATTAATTATAAGTTCCCTGATGACTTCAACATCTGGGTCTTCTCTGAATTTATTTCAATTAATTCTTTATTCACTTGCAGTTTACTATCTTTTGCTTGTGGTATACATTGTAATTTTGATTATTCATGGTTTTGTTCCGAAGTAAGAAAGCAGAAACTGTTGTAAACACTCATGTCTGAAAAAAGGCATGTTTTTTTTTTCTTCTCAACTGCTAGGGAATTATTACAGTAGTTAGTAGGGGTTGAGTTTTGTTGTTGTGATGGTTACATCAGAGTATCCCTTCAAATTCCTCAGTGCTGCCTGATATTTAGGGTGGGAACTGGAGGGTTTTCCTTAGTATTCGCAGTCTGCTGAGTAGCTTCAAGCTGTGCTTGTATTCCCGCACCTTGGAGATGGTCTCTGTCCGTGTTCTTGCCCCTTCTCCATCAGTAGAGTTTTGCTTGGTGTGTATAGCCGGTGATAAGCTTGGGGTGTCATCTTGATCCAGCCTCAGTTCCCTTGTTCCTGCTTCTCATGGGTGAGAGTTTCTCAGTGATCCTGCTGCTCCTCTGTGGTACCAGAGCCCTAGTGATTCAGGCATAGAATGAGTTTTTTTCCTTTTCTCTCAGAGCCATAATCTGCCTTCATTTTATGCCCAGGGGATGTAAAGGTTTGCTGCTACTTTCCCAAAAGCCTTCAAATTTTAGTTCCATAGAGAGAAAAACATCTGGTGGGGTCATTGTGCTTTCCTACTGTGTGGCCACTCACTCTCCTTCAGGACTGCAGCCCCAAGGGCAGCTCTCTCTGGTCCCCAGCCCGTTTCCAGGCTGAGAGATTATAGAGAAAAGCCTGCCGGGGGCTGTGAGCAGTTCCTCTGTATGTTCTCCCAAGAGTGTGTTTTTTCCTGCCAGTCCATGAACCAGCTTTTAGCATCTTGGCTTTTAGGAGTTTGTTAAAAAGTTTATCTGAATTTGTCTTACCTACTTGCACTGTGGCCCACTTCTCCTTATTCTTCAGTTGTTCTGTGACCCCAGCTCTTTTTTTTGACTCATAAAAGTTACAGTGTTGACAATTACATAGATTTATCTTGTTTTTTAGAATAGAAATAGTGTTCTTTTCAGTGTTTTGGGTCTCACTTTTACTGCGAATGTAATACACGTGCCTTTATTTTGTTGACAGATGACTAAACCTGTATATCTGTTTACTTTTTTTTTTTTTTTGGTTGTTTGAGACTCACTGTGTAGTTCAGGCTGGCCCTAAACTCACTGTGTAGCCAAGGCTGGCCTCGAACTTGGAGGCAATCCTCCTGCCTCAGCCTCTGGAATGCTGGGATTACAGGTGTGCACCACTATGCGTGGGTTATGTCTTATTAACTTTGTCATTTAGATTACTTTTGGAGACGATCTGGCATCTTTGAAAATTGTAGGTATAGATTAGACACACACACACACACACACACACACACACACACGCTCTTTTTTTCCTTGTGTCTCATATTTGCAACATATATCATGTGTAGTACTAAATAACCACCAGAGTGTAAAAATAGCACTATTTAAGGTACTTCATGGTGGTAGATTCTCATTAAAAACCATGGGAGTTACAGAATAATTTGACCATTGAGTGCTCTGAACATTTTGTTAAGATATATAATTTATTGGCTCTGATTTGCTTTGAAATTGTAACTGCTTCAAAATTGCTTAGCATTTTAAAAAATTTCTGTTCTATAAATAATCATGTTCTTTAGAGAAGAAATGTACATCTATAAATTTTTTCTATCAATAGCTTTCAAATATAATTGAAAAGAATTCAAAGATTTAAACATACATTTTTAAGAGGAATAGAGTGTTAAGCAATTGTACCGATGTAATGTTACTTTGCTCAGTAACAATAAATAATTCTTAACTATATTTTGTTCTTTTATATTAGAATTAAAATAATAATATTTTATTTAATTTTATAGATATAATGGAGAATGGGATCTAGCTCAAAAAGCATTGGATGATATTACATATCGAGCCCAGCTAGAATTATATCCAGAGCCATTACTGGTAGGTTCCTTACTTCTTTACATAAAATTTTGAATATGATTTTTTAGTTTAGAGATGTAAATTGGGAAGAGATATTCATAGTACATTAATTCTCAGTGATCTGTGTTCCTGGCATGTTTGGAAATTTTACACTTTAAAGGGTATATATAAAATATGAAAACTTTATTAGACTTTCTTTTTTTGTTTGTTTGTTTTTTTGTTCTTTGAGACAGGGACTTGCTGTGTAGTTGAGGTGGCCTTAAAGTCAGTGTACAGCCCAGCCTTTCCTCCAACTCACAGGGATCCTCCTGCCTCAGTTTCTCAAGTGCGGAATTACAGGCATGCACCTGTAATTAGACTCGTATCTTAAATCCTTGATAGTCTCTTTTAGTTACAAGGATGTTCTCCTTAACATACTTTAAATACACTTATGAATCAGCATTGGGTATAAGGAAACTTAATTTAATATTTTGAATTTTTTAACTTTATCACATACACACTACTTTTATCTACAGATATGCCTCATGTAATGACTGAGTTCCATTCCTGCAACTTGGTTGTTAAATGAATTGGTTGCTAAATGAGAAATTGTATGTAATACGTACATTACAATATTTAGAATATAAGAAAACTGCAAGTTGATTACTTTGCTTTTATTTGTGTAACTCTTACATGCAGTATTGTAATGTATAACCGAACACAGAACTACAGTACCAAGCATTAAAATTATAGTACTGTATAAACAAGATGTCCTGTACAAAAATAAAATGTTGAGGCTCTACAAGCAAGATACACAGAACTGTACAAAAAAAAACCGAAGATGGGCCATAAGTATGAGTAGCATGCCTCATCCTAGGTCTGAACAGCCATTAAATGAGAACATCTAGATAAGTTTCCCTGTGAGCTTTTTACTCCTTTTATAAAGGAATCATGCATCATCTTTTGAAGTATTTTGAAAAGAATATTCTTTTTGTAAACCTTTTGACATTTAACCTCATGTTTTCTCTCGGGGTAAAGTAATATATCTGTTACTGCCAATCTTAAAACTACTTTTTTCTTTCTTAGGTCGCTAATGCTATAAAGGCTTCATTGCCTCATGGTGCCATGAAATCTAATAAGGAAGGCACAAGGTGTATTCAAGTTGAAATCACACCAACTTCCTCTAGGATATCAAGAAATGCAGTAACCAGCATGTCAATAAGAGGTCATAGGTGGAAAAGACATGGTAAGAAATGTGTAACTCTTCAGAGTAGAGCATTGGTGACTCTTGTTTTTCTCTATATTTATGGTGGTAGAATGTCCGACTGGTGAATACTACTATAGTACCCTGGAAGAAAGAGATATGAGATCTAATTTATCTTTCAGGAGCAAGAGACAGTGAGGATAATGGAGCCCTTTTTATTACAAATAGAAATGAAAATTTATTTAAAAAGTATATTGGTCCTTTGAATTTTATTTTGTAGGAGTAGCAGAATAGGAGAACGTGTTTTTAAATTATAGATACTTTTTTTGTTTCTATTCTTAAGTTTTTTCAGATATTCTTTAATGAATGTTTCTTATTTGTTACTCGACTGTTTAGTAGGTAAACTCACATACTGAGGTAGAAAAACTAATAGAAACTTTAAACATTGTATCTGGACTTTCTGGTAAAGAATGCCATAGTATTGATGTAGACTGCGCATTTCTATTTTTCTTAAGTTAGTCTTCTTTCAGTATTGTTTGTTTGTGTTAATATTCCATCCTGTCTGTTTCATTTTATTATTTTAAATTATTACTGGAAGTTAGTTTCATTCACCATGGCCTTCTTAGTGCTTTCCTGTTTCCCTTCCTTCTCTTTTAATTTATTCCTTTTTAAATTTCTTGTTCTTTTTGTTATTTCCTCCTGTCTAGAAATTACTGCAGTGGTAAGAGTCAGTGTAAAATGAGAATTAATATTACCTTCTTTAAAAAAGATCTTTGCGTGGGAGACAAAAAAACCACTTCTTTCCAACAAGAAAACAAGGGCATAAGGGGTAAAATAAAATCCAGTCTCTGTTTTCTTCTTCCGATAAACTGAGAGGAAATGGTAGCTCCTTTTGGTACATTGTATAGTGTTTGGTTTCAGCTGTCTCTGGGATCTCTATGGAGAAATGATAAAGTGGGAAGAATGAGTTATGTATGATGAAGTGGAAAGTAGATGAGAACAGTTGCCATTTTTTCTGTCAGAGTCTAGACGATTGTATGTCAAAAAGAATAGGATGAAATTATCTATTATGATCCATGTCATTTTTTCTTTTTTCTTTTTTTTTTTTTTTTTAACTTTAACTTTTACTTTTTATCGGTACCAGGGATCGAACTCATGACCGCCTGCTTGCAAGGCAGGTGCTTATGCCACTGAGCTAAATCCAACAGCCCCCATTTTTTCTTTTTTAAAATAAGTGTGAGAATTCATGAATGTCTAATAGATATAAAAGGGGTGATGTTTGCCATCATCAAGGCAAATTATGCCATTTAAAATATACAAAGCCTAAATATAGTTTGGTTTGTTTGATTAAAAATAATGCTACTGAATAAAGCTAGATTACAGGTAGAAAGTATTTTAATTAGATGTTGTAGTACCTTAAAGATCAGTTTTTCTAGTTTGGTATTAATGTGTGAAAATAGGTCCAGAGGCAACAAACCAGATCATTCTGGGCACTGTGGCCCTAATTGCTCCCACATTACTGCTACAGGAAATACAAGAATAAAATTTAATTTCTTTTCTGCTTACTTTATTGCTCTTAGGGAGGACATACTGGGAACGGGCAGGGAGGATGTAGATTCTACAGTTAAATATGTGAAACACATTGATACTGCCTTATAGTTGTTCATATGTATGTGTGTTTGTGTGTGTGTGTATATCCTCACGAGTTTTAATAGAGGGAGATACGAACTCTGTGATAAAGTGGAAGCTATTTTTGAGAGTATTTGGTAGGAAAGAATTAGCAAAGCAAGAGAAAAGACTAGTTGAATCTATTATATTCCTGTCTTCTAGGTTCCATTTTGGCTGCTACTTAAGGATTTTATACAATACACTGCTTTAAGGGTATGGCCTACTAAAGTAGACTTCTTACTAATTTTTCCCTGTGTTTATTCAGAGTTCAAAATTCTAGCACTTCAGCAACTCTTGATAACAAAAAAGTCATAGGTGAAGATATAGAAAGAAATGAGCTATAAAAAGCAAGTCACATGCCTGAGCAGGTAGAGAATATAATTTAGTATTGTTTGCCACATTCTGTAGTGTACATTCCCTTTATTTGGTAGACTATAACGTGTCCCTCCCTAAGGTCCCTCTTACCTGCTTCTATGGACAGGTTCCATGTTCCTTTTGTAGGTAGTCTTGACTTTGCTTCTGTATTGTCTATTTTCTGTTCCCATCACAAAATACTTGAAGCTTTATAAAGGAAGGAAATTTAGTTTTAGAGTTTGAAAGTTGAAAATCAGGTGGCCTCATCTGTTCAGCTTCAGTTGAGAACCTCTTTTGACAGTCACAGCGTAGAAGGAATAGAAGAGACCCTGCTGCATGTAGAAAAGGTCAACTTTGTGTGGTGGCCTTACTTTATAGCGATGCATTATGAGAAAATAACTGGACTCCTACATCATGTACTTCCGGGGCAGAACTCCAGTGACCTCCCATTAGGCCCTACCCCTAAAAGCTACACCACCTCTCACATCTTCAGTAAACTTCCAGTACGTGAACCCTTGAGGACACCCTTCAACTATATCCAAACCAAACCATATCCAAGCCATGACACCTTCATAGTGTTTTTCATTAAATCATCATGTTCTGCTGAATTAAAAACTTCTCTATTTTCTGTACTAAGATACATTATCGTCTGGCTCTCTGTCACTAGTGGCTCCTTATAAGGAAGAGAGATATAGTTCTTAAGTTTTAAGACAGTTTTTAAATTATAGGGAAATTTTAATTTTATTTATATATAAAAATTATGTTTTTGTATGAATTATACAAAATAAGATTTAATTGATATGTTTCTCTAGAAACAATGTCAAAGAATTTGTAGATTCCAGAGTGACTCACAGTGACCTTTTTATTGGGAGATATTGCTGAATGATAGTGCTGTAGAATATAAGTGCAACTTACGATTGAACATTTGATGGAACACTGCGTGTGTTTTACCTTCCACCCATCCCCTCCCCTTTCCCTCCTTAGCAAGTCCTCGCCATGAAGAGCCTCCTTTCAAACCGGTCAGCATGTACACATCAGGCACAAGGAGCGTGTAGCCTACGCCTGTGGGGATGAGGGCTGTGAAAGGGAACCACTTCCTTTACCACTGAACTTTACCACTTCTGCTTGCTTTTTTCTTTGTTTTCCTACTCCTGGGAAGAAAAAGCAGTTCTTTTTTTTTTTCTGTTGAGTGTCTTGTTTCTCTTCTTAGTTTTGTCTTCTTGACTCTCTTTTTTCCCCTCTTTCCCTCATACCTGGATAGAAGAGGGATAGGAGTGAGGTTCTCCCATTGAAGCAGCAAACTGGTTCTTTGCTCTTTTCAACTTTTTTCTTTCCATCTGTCATTATCATTAAGGATTACATAATTAAGCCATACAAATGTTTGCATATTTGAGTCGTCACAAATTATTACACATCAAACAAAAACATTTAATTGGAACAATTAACCACATTACTTCTTTTAAGCATCTTACAGCTAAAATTCACATTCTGTTTTTTCTAAATTAATTTTGAATTACTTACACCTTAAAATATTTTTGAGATATTCTAGAATGTATTTCTAGATATTCACTAAATTCACTAAAGCTTCATGGATCTGCCATCCCTTTGTTAAGAATTGTCCACAGTTTGCCTGGCAAGCACAAGATTATGAATCCAATCCCCAGTACCAAAAAAAAAAAAAAAATGTCCACAGTTTATATGCTAATGGAAGATAATAAATTATTTTAGTCTCAGTGTTTTCAGAACACACATACCTTGCAGTGGTGTCATTGAATCATAATCTAAATTTCTAGAATTCTATTTCTATCAGAATTCTATTTCTATGATTTGCTTGGCCATGTATTTTATTTTTAATTAATAGAATTTATATTTTAATGAAGTTGTAGGCTTACCGCAAAACTGAGTGGAAAATACAGTTTTCCTCTCTACTCTGGGCTCGTGTGTGTGTGTGTGTGTGTGTGTGTGTGTGTGTGTGTGTGTGTATCAACATCCTGGACCAGAATGGAACATTTGTAAGGCCTCTAATTTAGGTTTTTACCAGATAGTTTATCTTCATTTCAACTGAATGGGGTAATTTGTTTTTAAAGGTTAGTTTCAACGTTCTACCACAGACAATTAATATCATGTATTCCTGATTTTTCCTACTTTTCAGTAGATTATTTTAGCATTGTACTGACAAGGGATAATGTTTTTCAAACTTGTGTTTTCAAACTTTGTGTTTAAATATATTTGAGACCATTTTAATGACTACATTAATTCCATGCCACCCATGAATAGTTGGAAACCTAAGGTTACAATTTAGAATTGTTATATTTCACTTTTAAGGGCCATAATTTTATAAACAATACAGTTCTGTTTTTGTTGTATTGATTTTCTGTTACTCTATAGATGGTGAATAATTCAAGGGAAAGGTATATTTTTCAAACAGATTTTAAGTCATCTACAAATTGATGATTATTTTAAAGTAAAATGCAATTAGAGAAGGACACTAGTGAAATAAACTTTAAAGAGAATTAAATAAGAATGAATAGGTTATAACCATAACAAGAATCAAAATGAAAATTCTAATAAGAAAAATAAGCTGAAATTTAGGGAAATAATGCATTAATTTAAAAATTAATAGCAAAAAGACAGTGTTGCTTGAGAATGTACTTTTTTCAAAGATAAAGATAGTAGTTAAAAGGAAACCAGAAGGTATTTCTTTGTAAGTATGCTTTAATTCTGTAGTCATTCTGAAATATTTCTAAAGGTGCCTTCATAATCTACATTGTAGCTCTAAGAGCCACTTTTCTTGAATCCCTGAATGATTCTAAGGTACGCCAAGCTTCTAGGGTACAGTCTAGAATATTATTTCCTTGTACTTTTCCATTGCTACCCCTCTTTCAGGACAAATTTAATTGCTACTTGTTACCTGTTCCCCCAGACTACTACCACTATTATGACTCATTCTATTTCCATTTAAAAACAATTATCTATCCTTGGAACAATATAAGAAATTTTTATCACTTCTTTTAAGATAG